AAACGTGCATTGGAATTTATTGTGATTAGAGTTGTAAGTAGAACGTCACTAGGAAAATGACAATGGTAAAGAGACGCGTGCAGGAGAAAGAGTCCGAGATGGTAAAGAATTTGCAGTTTTTAAATTCATTGGATTCATTCGTTTTATTTCGCTTCTGAGGATGATCCAACCTTTACTAGGACGAAGATGACACCGTGCTGCAAGAGGAGTTGCTTCAGTTGGCGGACGTATTGCTAGTAATTAATATGAATTTCTCCGTCGAATTAATATTAGACGATTTATAAGTAAGGGATTTACTGTCTCAATTAGAAACACCCAGGAGGGAGGGGGATGGTTCATGGAGGATTAAATTTCCCTTCTGATCAAAATCTACCAACTTCTTTTACAAAAGCACCAACAAATGAGAAATATTTCGAAGAAATATTCTTTCAGTGTTTTACAATAAAAATTCAGGGAACAGACGAAGCAGCGATGCTACTGTCCCTGAGTCAACTGAGGCTACTCATGCAGACCTCGACAACTTCGATGACCTCGGTCCCGAAGCCGTTGAAGTACCTACGAAACTCTTACGACTCCTTGAAGACCGCGTATAACAAGATCCAGCGTAAGGACGTGAGGCAGCAATTCGCAGAAGTTCTGAGCGTGCTCTCGATGGCTGGAGCAGTTCCAGGGTGTAAGGAGTGTCTGGAGTATTGTATCCAAGGAAATGTGGTGAATCCTGGCGAATGGGGCCACGAGTACGTGAGACAATTAGAGGCGGAAATCATCGACGAGTGGTCGACCGCCCCTGCCAGGGACGAGCAACGAATAAGGTACTTCTAATATTGGAAAAAAAAAAAAAAATTGGCGACAGAACTACAGATCTGAAGTGTTCTTCTTCGTCATTTGAGGACAGAAATCAACTCACGTCGTTGGTGAAAAGTATCGTGAAATTCGACATAAAACACAATGCAGAGATACCTGGCTGCGATCTGTGTCTGGAGATCGACCAGCTGAACTTTCTCGGCGATTACTTGGACAGCACGAATTTCCGGCGAGTCTGTCGATACTTGGAAGGCTGCGCGGCGTATAGGTAAGTGCATAAGGATCCAATGACCCAGTTTCAGTTATCACGGAATGTGATTGATTCACGGAACGTTCAGCGAGGACACGGAGAGAAAGCAAATACTGAAAATCGTGGCTGATCAGTATCTGAGATTCAAGGAGTTCTGCAAGGCTACCTTGGTAGCTCTGGAACTGTCCGATTCGGACCTGGTGCAGAAGTGTTTGACCACTTGTCCTGACAGCGTGACGCGGAAACAGTTGGCATTTATGCTCGCCAGACAGCGGGTAATACTTTGTGCATCGTGAATGATCAATGAGAAGTCGCTGAAATTGTGTTCTTCGTCTAGGACAATCCTCTGAAGATAGAGTACGAAGGTGACGATGCCAAGGACATCGAACTGATCTTGAGTAACGGTCACGTGAACAGCCATTTCCAGTTACTCGCCAGGGAATTGGATATACTGGAGCCTAAACATCCGAACGATATCTACAAGATCTGGTTGGAAACAAGCACGTTAAGAATGGCCGAACATGATTCAGCAAGAGCCAATCTGGCAGCCAGCTTCGTCTCTGGCTTTGTTCATGCTGGCTTTGGCCAGGATAAACTAATGGCTAACACGGAGGATTGTTGGGTGTACAAGAACAAGGTATGAAAGACTAGTATTTACATTTTAGGTCTGTGTGTGGCCTTGGTCGCTGGGACTGTAGCATTCGTTGATGATGAATTGGCTTCTAGGATCATGGGATGCTATCTGCTACTGCCTCCCTGGGCCTGATACACATGTGGGACGTGGACGGCGGTTTGGTACCCATAGACAAGTGAATTCTACTTTCTTCAGTTCTGTTAGGAAATTTAATAGGATTACAGAAGATTCTATGTACTGTTTTATATCGTAGATACCTTTACACAAGTGAGGACTATATAAAATCTGGAGCATTACTCGCCATAGGTCTCGTAAACTGTGGCGTTCGCAACGAATGCGACCCAGCGCTGGCTCTTCTCAGCGATTACGTGTCCCATAACAGTGCAACGCTCAGAATAGGAGCAGTTTTGGGACTAGCCGTCGCCTATGCGGGTTCAAGGAGGTTCGACGTTACTGAATTGTTAACTGGCGTCTTCACGGACAAAGAAAGTTAGCGTATAGTTTCTGAATATTGTGTTTGACTGAAAATAGGGACAATTTTTCTTTTACACTCCGATGACTCTCAGGTACCATGGAGGTTGTAGCGTTGAGCGCGATAGCGATAGGACTGATAAATGTTGGTTCAGCTGATCCTGACGTGTCCTCGACGATTTTGCAGAAACTGTTGAACCTTACTCGTCAAGAATTGTCCAACACCCACTCTAGGTCACTAAAAGAAATCGTTATTAAATATTCAGGGTATACCGAAAAGATGAATACACCAGATTAACTCAGAAGGATGTAGTTTTGAGTAAAATATGTTTTGTACAAAAGAATTTAGAGCTTACAGAAATCCATTTCCCTAGATTTTTACCACTGTCGTTGGGGTTGGTCTACATGGGCTGTCGAGATGTAATAGAAGCTCCTTCCGCGGCGTTGGAAGTTTTACCGGATCCATACAAATTGACTTCGCAGACGATGCTACAGGTACCATTACCACTCTTTCACTGTATGGTCCCTATCTTCGACAAGAACTATTTTCCCCAAGGTATGCGCGTATGCTGGCACAGGCGACGTGTTAATAGTGCAAGAATTACTACGAATTTGTTCAGAACCTGTTAACGGCGAGAGTGTACCAATCACACCAGTGAGCACTTCTTCAATCAGCTGCCACGGTCAGGGACTTGAAACTACGAAGTCTAGTGAGAAGAAAGACAAAAAGAACGCCAAGAAGGAAGAATCCAAGTACCCGTCTTCTTCATTTGATTAACATCCTTCTGATATCTTTAACTGACCTTTGCTATAAAAATGTTTCAGAGAAATTGGATCAACGCAAGCTATAGCCGCTCTGGGTGTCGCTATGGTTGGTCTGGGGGAGGGTGAAGAGAACTCGCGAATCTTTGGACAGGTATTCTACTTAATTTACTCACCCTGTTCAAGTTTTCCAGTCACGAAATCATAGTTACGATTAATTTATTGTAGAGATAGGCTACTTATTAACTTATAAGACATCGGTAACTGTTCTTCAGATAGGAAGATACGGCCCTATATCCGCAAGGCGAGCAATGCCTCTAGCTCTGGGCTTGTCTTTCTTGTCGAACCCAGATCTATCGGTTCTGGACGTGCTGAACAAATACAGTCACGACAACGACAGCGACGTGGCGAACAACGCGATCTTTGCGCTTGGTCTGGTCGGTGCAGGGACCAACAACGCCCGTCTTGCTATCATGTTGAGGCAGTTGGCCTGCTACCATGCGAAGAATCCTTCACACCTGTTTCTCGTAAGGATATCGCAGGGTCTGGTCCATCTTGGCAAGGTAACAATCAACTTGAACACTGTAGTCATTCGAAATGATTGTTTTTACCAAGAACAAGTAAATAACAATGGAATAATAATAATGTACTGTGCAGGGTACACTGTCCATATCTCCATTGCGTTACGCCTCTAAAGTATTGGATCAAGCTGCACTCGCTGGGCTGCTGGTAGTCCTGGTCTCGTTTCTGGACTGTCGTAACCTGATCCTGGGCAAATCTCATTACTTAATGTACTGTCTGGCTCTCGCGATGGAACCTCGATGGCTGGTGACTTTAGACGAGAATTTACAGGTATTTATTTCGAAATATACATCGCAAGAACCTTCATAGACTATATTATGCAATCTTCATATTAAAACTTCTTGTATTGCGTAGCAGACCGCGGGTGTTTATGCAAAACCGTATTCTCTTGGAGTAATTTATTACAACTGGAGTTCAACAGAGATTTATTCCTTGTATTCAGAATTTTGATGCGCAGAACTGAAGTTCAAATCATCGTTAAACTTAACTGTAACTTTCATTTTGTTGTACATCACACTTTCCGATGGACACAACCACTATCAAGTAGTATCTTCTTGCTATTTTATTTAAGATCATCTTAGAATCTTCAATTGTTTATTGTGCAGAGTCTACCAGTGTCAGTGAGGGTTGGACACTGGGTGGACATCGTGGGCAAGGCTGGGAATCCAAAATCCATTTCGGGCGGCTACGTCCACACAACTCCCACCCTTCTGTCATCCGGTGAAAGGGCGGAACTTGCTTTGGACGAATACGAGGCGGTGTCCAGCGTGTTGGAAGGCTTCGTTATTCTTCGGGAAAAGCCGAATTCTTCTTAAACTGAATATAAAAACGTCGGGACACACGATTCCGAAATACGATATACGAAATAAATTTTTTTGTAGTCACATGAACAGCGAATGTCCATTCTTTTCGGTGGTCTTGGCAGAGTAAAGTTTTGTTATTTATTATTCTGCTGTATAAATGTTCAGGCGTTTAACTTTATGGGCAATTGTGAACTTTCGTGTAGGTTTGCGTTTATTGAATTTCATGGGACTAGCGGAAGCAATGTGCTCTATACAACAGAAACGTACATCGGTTCGCATTGCACAGCGTGAACAGACAACGGTGCACCATGATCTGACAGACAGTGTATGTATGTGTGTGTGTGTGTGTGTGTCACGGTTGGGATCCGCGTGATCGGTCGTCGTGAATATAAAACGCTCAAAATTACATGAAATCGGACGAAAAAAAAAACAAGTAGGAAACAAAAGCGAGAATAAAACGATCTCGACGAAAGAGGATAAAAATAAAAATATACGAAAATAAGTAATCGTTAAAAAGAAAACGAAAATAAAGAGTCACCTGATGCGATAGTTTTCGAGTAACATCGGCCAGCAGCGTAGTGTTTCGCCATCATAAAACACCGCAAATGAAAGATAAATATTGCAGTTTATTGGTTCTGATAGTGTGTACAAAAAGCGGACGACAAGGAAACGAGAATCGTGGATCGAGAACCGTCCATTTGCATTTGCTATTCCCCCAGTTATTCGTTCGTTTTCTCGGTTCTGTTTCTCGCACGGTGGTTCGCCAAAGGGGTCGCAATTTCACGCAAGATCATGGAGCACGTTCAAGATACACCACCATTTTTGTTGTTGTTGTTGTCGACGGGGTAGACCGACGAGAATTGCACGAATTGGTGGCGGCGAACGTGTGCGCGCACGCGTTATACAGACGCCCAATCGCGGGGGACCATCATCACGACTCTCCTCGTGTGTCGAATGTCCGCCGACATTCACATTATAGGCACATGACTTAGGGTAACAGGCGAAGTGTTTAGTACAGTAAAACGCTTATTCACGAACTTGTGTTGCACGCAACAGCGAATCGTTCCCCCTACCCCCATCTTCCATCGTTTAGTCGCATATACACAGGTTGTCCTCGATAATTCGATCCACGCCACTCCGACGGAACAAACAAATTTTTCGGAGGCAATTCCCCTGCTTCGCTGAATAGTCATAACGTTCTCGAATTGTGTCGGCAGTGTGTGATCCCTATGATATTAATCGGTTTCGGTAAGATTCAACGTTCTACTTTAACATACGCACGCCCCTTCTGTCTCGCGCGTGCAGCTTGCCGCCTGACGTGCTCTTTTCGTGTGTGTGTGTGTGTAAATTAGTTGTACACAACTGCTTTTCATTTTAATGTCTATTCTGTTTATCCAGAGTTATCCACGCGTGTATACTGTATATGTTTTCAACGATTATTCCGAAGTTCTCTCATCTTCTGTTATCGAAGAACTCTCGCCCGCACTGCAGAGCGATTTCGTCTAGTCAATACGCAGGTCAGATAGATAGATAAGAAGATAGTGTTATACGGACTGTTTCTGGAACTTGTGGTGCAATGATAAAGAAGGGAGTGGTTCGTTGGTCAAGAATGAATCAACGATGTACCAGTTTTGTTCCTGAGAAAGCTTTGTTCTCGAGAATTAGAGTATTCTATATTTTCGATCATTTTTTTATTCATCCTGCACCACCAAGTACAAAACAGTCCGTATAATTCATTAACATTTGATAAAATAGAGGAACAACATGCAAAATCGTCCATATATATAATCACGTCACCCGGCAAGCTGGCCTTTCTTATCTACTTATATCGTAAACTTCTCATGTTGCTTATAGTAAAATATAATAATAATAATAGTTAAAAATTAATAATAATAATGATAGCTCTTATAATAGTAGCGCTTTCGTGTTTATAACCCTTTGCAAATAGTAAGTGTGTCTGTGGTTCAAGCGAATTCTCAAAAACGGTACGTATAATACGTATGTATACATATATATATATATATATATTTATATACCTTTCATCCGTACTTCGGTTGCTTCTTTCATCTTTATGCGATCCGTCGGTTTATTTACAATAACGCACGTGTGCATTACGAATATTACCATCTCATTGCCCGGCCCCTACTATTTGCATTCGTGGTGGTAGTATATTCATACCTCCCTTTTGTGTGTGTATGAGTGTTTTGTGTGTGCTATATTCGTCGACGTACGAGAGTAAACTCCAAGTGATCGTCACGCTCCAATCGTCTTGGCGAAACGATTAAAATCTCGGCACGTAGTAGCGCGTTCGCTCACGGTTCAGTTACTACCCTAAATAATTATACCCATGTACCGTTCATCCTCGCGCGACGTTGAAAATCCATGGTCAATGAAAAATTCCGTACTACATGCTAGATACAGGAAAGAAACTCGCCCTGGGTCACCCTTTCGCCGACATGCGTCGACTTTTACGTACAATATATCTCTTCTTCCTTAGAACTATCCGCCGACTATAATCGGAAAACACCACTTCCCCGTCAACAATAATCAAATAAGTCAAGACTCTGTATATCATCGGGTAATCTCCATCGAACCATCCTCTACTGTTTCTCTTCTTTTTCGCTATTCTCTCGTGGTTCGGTTTCAGCAGTCATAGATTCCGCTTGGATCACAGAAACAGGCATTAACGACCGTAACGAACATCAAAGAAAATCCTCCCGGAAAAAGGAGCACACCGAAGTCGCACAGGGGGGACGATCATAATAATTCTCAAGTCGAAGATAAGTCGAAGTTTAGTCGAAGCTGCCTGTGGATTCGTTGCTGAGAGAACATTTGAAAATTGACGACAAATGGCAGTGCTTTGTGTATGTGTGTCTCCTTCTTTGTGTAATACGTATTTGCGTATGTGTATACATGTGTCTGTTTTGTGTGTGAATCAATCACGCGTGTAACCCTGCGTGTCGATGAACACGTTATCCAAAGATTGTCCGATCTTTACCGCGGCTCGCAATGCTGTCGACGATACGGGTACAGTGAACACGGGTTTTCTCTCGCGATACGGCTGGCCAACAGCTGAAGGAATGTACACTCAGTACCACGGTAACACAGTCGTGACACGGTGAAGGTAATAAGTAGAACGCATAATGTGAACGCTGCTGCTGGTTAAAACAGTCGGGCGCGTCTTTTGATTTCGTTACGACGCCACTGGGGTAGTCTGTAGAATTCCGTGCGGCCGCACTGAAGAACTGCCTCGAATTCCGCGTCCGAAAGGTGTCGCTGGAAAATAAAAACACGTTTTGGAGACGATGGTTACTCCTGGTTGATCGATATGTCATTTCTGTTCTATCGGAAGGAAATAGGAGAATCTGTTGACTGGATCAATGCTGGTGATTGGGGGACTCCTGGGGATCCACCTTCAATTCGTAATCGGTTCTTCGACCTTGTTAGGCGTCTGGTAATCACAGTGCATAGCGAAGATGGGAATGAGGTTCATAAATGATCGAAGACAGTGCTGTGACTGGGGGATTCCTGAGGATCTACCTCCAATTCGTCATCGTTTCTTGTTCTACGTTAGGTGTCTGATAATCACAGTGCACAAGGGAATGTGGGTTCATAGAGAATCGTAGGTTCAATGATATTCTTTGGTTTAAGTTCTAGTATGCATCCTCACTTGATATTCTTCATAAACTGCAGGATGAGCTTGAGACCGATTTGATCTTGAATTCCTGATTTAGAACTTGAATAGGATAAAGAAAGAATTTCATCTGCTGAAACTCAATGCTCTAAGAAAAAGTACGCGAAGCTTCGGGTGAGCTAATTAGACCAGTAGTTCCTAGGTCGATCAATCATCTTGGCGCCTTATATTATTGGTAAACTATCATTTTTACGCGTAATTACGGTGGATCAATGTTGATAATCGTCCATCGAGGATGAGGTTCAAGAGGATAACGTTCGCGTAATTGCGGTCGATTTAACGCCGTGAATGTAATTACTCACCTCAAGGTTGCAACGATCCACGTCGGCGGGCAGCCTATAGTTAGTGATGACAAGTAAGTGGTACGGATAGAGTTTCGGTGGTTCGGACGGCGTAGTACCCATGTCCGGCAACGATCTCCTCACATGATGGCCCCCGTGACTTCCGACCACCGAACCCAGCCCACCTGTATACGTGGTGGACGATGGAAGCATTCCACCATCATTCTGAAGCACAAGTCGTTCATTAGTCACCGTAATCGTCCCACCGTCTAATGCGAGTTAATGACGGTGCACTTAATTCGAACGAAGCGTCTCGCACAGGAGAAAGAATTTCGTACGCCTGAGGAGGCCTCGGCTAGAAATATAATTATTATATTTCGATTTTAAAAACATGAAATGAATTCTGTTTAATATCGAGCACAGAAGAGAGTTCGACCAGATGAACGGTCCCGTGCGAGACTTTCTTTTCGCGTTCCGATCGAGTGGTCGTCGCTCAACAAGACCCAATTTTGCAGCGAAACAGAAAAAAAAATAATCAGCGAATGTCCATTGAACGACGCGTTACAGATGTCCCGTTCGCGTGAAACCACGAGGCAGAACTATAACTAGACTGAAACGATCGCTAGGAATTGGCATCTTACGATTAATCGTTCATCTCCACGCAGTCGATGAACCGGTTGTTGTTGTTGTTCGTGCAGTGTTCTGTGAGACTTACATGATCTGACTCTATATTCCCCACGGATCGTCCGGTTTTTGATCTCGGACACGAGAGGAGAAGATAATAGAAAAGCAACCACGACACGCTTCACGTGCGCATCATGCAAAGAAGAAGAAAAATCATTTCTTTTTTTTTTTAGATTGTTCAGTTTAGACATAGTTCCGTTCCTCTTTCGTTCCTTAATGCACAAATATGCAACTCTGTATGCAGCCAAGTGGACAGAATAGCGTGACACGCGTCGATTGTTAAAGAAAGGAAAAAAAAACAAAATAGACAAGTACAGATTAATGGTTAATCGGTTGGACGGAATCGTACGCGAAACTCACATCGTGTTATCGTGTTGCGTCAACGAAAGATTGTGTTATCGGTGACTGTGAAAATCATAAAAAGCCCGATTGCCATCGGTCTAAAGAAATTGCAAAAATCATCGTCGAAGCGCAAACTAAATGTATCGAAACTGATCGATTGTTCGTATTGATATTCTATAAGTCAAATATGCAAACTTCAAATCGCAAGGCATAAAAAAAAAATATGAAGAAATATAATATAGAAAATGCAAAATGGAAAACTATAATTGCAGCAAAATGTACAGCAGGCATGCGCAACAAACAATATACAACGCTGTATGTACAAGAATATTTTACATTTGCGACGGTACTAATATATACGATATGTATATATTATTATGTACAAGTTTCGTGTACATCTTCGTCAAACGGTACCGTGATTAGTCTCGCTTGTGTGACACCGTTTGCTATTCTCATACTTAACTTAAAGTTATCAACGCGATGGTTAATGTAATAACAGATGCAAAAAAACAAGCTACAAACCATGCTAATTCGCCGGGAGTAGTATGGGGCTGTGGTACATACCAGTGCCCGCCGATCCACATCCGTGATGCTGCCTGTCGATACTAAAATCGGGGGAAAAATGGGAAAGAAAAAAAACCATGTCAAACCATGTTGCACAAACCATTTCGTTATGTTAAGTAACAATCGTTCGCTGTCGATCGATCGTGTTCCCTTTCGACGATGAACCCGTGTATTACGATCCGACAGGTTTGAAAAGAGGGATGATTGCACGACGAACGATCGAGAATATTATTGTACTTTCAGTCGAATATTAACGATCATATTACGGTATACGATGTGTCGGAAAATAGGTAATTAAGACCGAAAGAAGATCGTCGTTTTATAATTCATCTTTTCAAGCTTGTCGACACAACGTTGATGCTGTTCGCTACTTTGCTCTCGATAATCTCAATCAACCACGTCGACCGGGAACGCAATTGATCCGATTAAATCACTATAAAGCGAATGTCTGATGATCGTATTGTACATATGACCTGGATCCACTAAAAAGCTACACGATACGTGTGGCAGCTGTCAACGATCAAACATCCTCAAGCACGTATCAGATAGACGGGTGACGTTCGTCGCGCCTAGGGACGAACGTCACGCACAACCAGGGATCATCCAGCACGGTTAACGATCATAACAGCGTTGGAATATTCTTATGCAATCCGTGGTAATCCATAAAACGGCACCCGTACGTCGCGTTGCACGTACAGGACCGAATCGTATAATGAGACTGCGACAATGTCTGTATGAGTGTACGTGTGTACTCGTGTTTCTCTGTGTATGTGTATAGGTAGAGCGAGGATGCATTTAGTCAAGCATGCTCAAGGTATTAAGCCGAGTAATCCGTAATAATAATTGAGAGAAAACAAAAATTAATAGAAGTAAAGAATCTCGCGTGCTCGTGGAACACGTATCACAAGTGGCTTAAAATCGAAGACGATCCCCTCTAACTTGGTGGTTCCGCGAGCACATCTACTTGATGTATATATTTAAGAAAGAAAGAAAAAAAACGATAAAATAAAAAGAAGCATGTACAAAATCGAAAGTACTATAGTGTACTGCCAGAAGAGTACAGAGAGTGGCAAGAATAACGATGATCGGTATTATGCCCTTTCCGTTGTTGTTTTGTCTTTTGTTACTCACTATCTGACTTGCCAGATGAGAAATCAGTGCTGTGCGTCTTGTCTCCCATCCCACTGAACGAATAATCACCCTAGACGACAGAAAAGCGTACATCTTAGCTGTTTGCCATGGTATATAATCCTTGGTAACCGTGTATATTTATATATAATATGTATATATAGTATATATATATATATAATGTAATAATAGTAGTAGTAGTAGTAATAATAATAAAATCTCTAGAGCATTTAATAATGCAGCAACAGGTGCAAGAGAGATTGGTCGTCGATTGTGACGCGATTGTGCAAGACTTACAGGGAGAGCAGATACAGAACCGCCGGTCGAGGAGAAGGTGTGACTTCGCGGTGCCAGACCGTACCCTGGCTTCGGGATGTGCCGAAGGGAGCTCACAACTGGTTTCAAATGGTCAATCGGACAGTATTACTCATTAGTTCCAACCGGACAGTGGAAATCTGTTCATTCCCATACGAATGCCCAACGTTCGCCGCCAACAAAACATTTTACGATTTCCTTTCTTTTTGCCCCTTTCTCTGGTACGATTTTTCGTTCTATACGTAAAGTGGTGGGTGGTATCGACCACACGCGGTCGGTGTACGGGGCCCACGGGGGAGTCTCACTCTACCTTTTCCATCGAGACTACCATACACGGGGGCTTTATTCGTTTCTAACAATCTGAGACTCTACGGTTGATAGAAAACAAAAAAATACGTCCCCGTTTCTCGCATCCCCACGGCAAGACGGTGGGGGAACGTTCTTTAAAGTGCACAAGCGTTGCAATCTCGGTAAAAAAAAAAAAAAGAACAGAGTGCAAAGGTAACGGCGTGTGTACAAAAAAAAAAAAGGGAAGAGATAGAGACAGAGATCTCATATATCTATATACACGTATATATATATCTCAAATACAAATAAGAAGCCAGCACCTGTGTATAAGTAATAATAAAAACGTATGTATCTGAATAAGCTAGAGATTACAACAAAAAAGAAGAGAGAGAAGCATGCCTCCCGGTGAAGACAAGTCAACAGAGGTCTCGTTTCCTACACACGTTTCTCTCGGTTCCGCGACGGCTGCTCCTGAGAAGTATTTTCTTCTGGTCTCCCGAGGGACGAACTTCCGGCTGACGCGGAAGCTCGCCTCTCGGCCCCCGTTATCTTTTTCTTTACGTCTCTAATCGTGTGACTTGAGATCAACGGTAGGTGAATTGGAAAGTTCACGGACTCACCGAATGATAGTGCCTAGCGGCGTTTGGAAGAGTGAAGGCGCGTTGAGTACCAAGGGGTGGATAGTTTCTGGGAGCCGGGGAACGTGCCGATGACCTCCCAACTGCCGCCCACGCAAACACAACACAAACACAAAAACACAAATAGAGATACGATGATACAGGTAGCGGTGTGTCGTACTAAAAAAAACGTAGATAGCGGTATTTCCCTATCGATTAATAAAATGAGCCAGACGTTGGAAGATACCACGGGCTGCGACGCGCCGTAATGCAAAGTAGAACTTAGGCCAGCCTACTGCGTACTCCTTCCGGATAAGCGAGATAAATGTATGCAGTGCCGGAGAAACGTAATTATCATGCAGCAGAAATAATATGTACACGTACAGGGTGTAAACGGATTAAGATTATTACCAGGAAATCTGGATATCCGGATCGGAGGAAGAACTTGACCTTGAAATTCAGTATCAATTGTTATTTTTGTACTTCTGTATACTGTACTTGACAAGACGAAAATTCAAGAAGGGACGAATGTTACTTCGAATCTCCAATACAATCTAACGAGACGAAATTTAACTTTGAATCTCCAACCTCTAGGTTACACCCCGTACAAAAATCAATACTACATCCCTGGGCGGTGTTCGTCTTGCGGTTATCTTCCAACATCACGGGTATACATATGAAAAATTCAAATAGAAATGATAGAATGAGTACTTTTTCTTTTAATTTCTTCTGCTTCTGATCGATGTCGTGTTCGTGTACGATGGATAGTTGCGAACGGTGAAAATATGATAGTATACCATGCGAGAGGAGGCAGCAAAGATGTAAGTTCTAGGGTAGTAGTTGAACGGATATATGATACGATACGCAACGGGAGAGAGACACGGTTCAGTGAGAAAGAATTGGGTGTTTTCGGTAACGAGTTTATATCTACATTCGGAGGATGACTTTTTTTTTTCACGACGCATACTAATTCTGTACTCGAAGAGAGCATTAATAGCCGGACAGACGTGTAGAATAGGCAAGCACATCGATGGTAGATGCCGACCACATGCAAAAGCGGAGCATACATCACCTGGATTCACGTTAATCGGGCGGCCGTAGTGTGCGCGCGTTCGGTGCTTCTATACGCCACTTAAAAACGTATAAAAACCTGGCCTACTACTATGGCTCGAGTAACCCCCTTTTTCTCCCATCGCATGTGATTCGCATTCGCACGCCACGACGGTCCCCGTTCCACGGATATAGCAAACATTTGTTTTCTTTTTTTTTTCACTGGTATATATTATTACATGGAACGTTCTCTCACTCGCTCCCCACCCCCGCTATTATTCACATCGGAATCTAACGTCCGAGATGTTACTTCGACACGGTAGAGTGGTATGTTAGTGTCATGTGCGAACGTGTGGACATGTATGAGATGATTATCACTTATGTTAATGAGACGATCATGATAATAGTGATAAGTAACGATCGAAAAGTAATCGTGGGGAGACTTACCGTTGTAACTCGGCCCGCTGGATCGGTAGCTCAAACCGTCGTCGTCTTCCCAGGGCCTGGCGTGATCTATGTTTCTCGATGGAGCTGGAGAAAGAACATTCGTTGCATATAGGTTCAGGAATCGCAGATACACGCGGATGATCGTGCTTCAAACAATCACTCGTCTGTTCTGGGGGAGACTAATTCGGGATCTTTCGAGTCTTGGGATTCATTCTCTCGAAATTCACCAGTCCAATCTCTAGAACTTGTTAGCGATGCAACACGAGTGAATTACCGAAGCATTACAGTGACATGATTCACAGACTCACATGCACCAACAGGGCTCTCGTATCGAAGTCTATAGGTCGGTTCTCTGGCGGCGGACGGTGTCCTCGAGGCGTTCCTAGGATCCACATTAGCTGCCTTGTGTCTCAAGTTCTCCCGATCCTTTTCACGGTCTTGCAAGAACACCTTCGCTATGCCAGTGTCGATTTTACTCAGCTCGTCGTGTTCCTTCTTTAGTTTCTCCTCCACCTCCTTTATATACGTCTTGTTGTCGACTTCGTCCTCGTCGTCTGATGCAGGTACTCCCTACACATGGTGTTATCGACATTGCGTATACCTTGTATGTGTCCGACCATCGTCTACGTCTCTCAGGATCTGTGTAAGGATAAGGAGGAGCAGGGAAATCGTCTCTCTCGATGGGTGGCTTGGATCCAGGTGGTGGTTTCATCGCGTCTGGATAATGCGCGAGCTCTATTGGCTCGTCATTATCTACTTGACTGGCCGGCGACTTCGGTCTGGGCTCGCTGAGAGCATCGACCAGTGCTCGCATTCCAGACCGGCTGCTGCGTCCACCGCTGCTTCTTATCGAACGAGAGGCTACAATAAAAGGTACGATACAATTTAAACATTACAGTTCCCTTTAGAAACATATACCGTGAAGACGTTGTTTGCCAGAATAGGAGAAATATACTACAATAAAATTTAAATCAGCGCTGCGACATTGGTACCATTGTTGACCATTAAATCGAGGGATTAAAGTGAGTACCATCAGGAGCAAAAAGTTGGGAAATGATTCTAATTGGAGGGTGTCATGTTGAGCAAGAGGGTGGACATTAATTTATCGACGGTAAGCCAAGGTAGAATCGGTTGCACTGATTCAGACTTTATGGTACCATAAAAAATGGCACTTACAGCTGGGCCTGTGAAAGTGTGGGCTAGTCGGCGGTTTGTCGTACGGCTGTATCGGACGTCTCAGATATCCTTGGCTGGGCGTCTCGGTCAAGTACGAGTAAGTGTAAATCCTAGACACATCCTCGGATGCACCCCGTCCGTATTCTCGTAACATCAGCCCAGGACTGCCGGTTCGCGCGGGGTAATACTGGGGCAATTAACGGACATTATCGCGGCTGGGCTCGTGCTTGCGTTTTTTCGGTTGTGTCGTAAGCGTCTTGTCATACCGCTAACTTTAGCTTGGTACTGAGCAAAAAAAGATAAGAACTCAACGCGTTCGACCCTCTTTCGAGAAATTGCACCGTTTCATCAATGGATTGATCCGATCTCTGACCTTAGGATCTAATATTTGATCATGGTTACCACCCAAGCTGATAGTAGGACATTTCACAGTACAAGGTTTTATCGTTCAGAATTTTCACGAATGTTAAAGTTTTTCTCGAAAGAGTGCCTGTGCTAGGAGATACATGGCATACCTTGCGACTGAGGCTGCTGTAAGGGCTGCAGAGTGATCCGTTCAGGCTTGGCGTGCGTGACCGCAATGAAAACTATACACAATGACCGTGCGAAAAAAAAGTAAACGATTAAGAAAGCAATAATAAAAATTAAAAAAACGATAAAAATCAAATTCGTGATATAATAATCGTTCGAGTATGTATATATAATGTATGTATAATATACGTATAATATATATAATACCGAGAACCGTACATCGAAGCGTGCGGAATATAGTATACAACGAACACGTTCATAGGAGAGAATGCACAAGTCGAAAGCGAAAAATATCGTTCAGTAGAAAAAATTAAGCTATACACAAAGCTGTTACGAGTGAAAAAAAGTATTATAGGCGTTCACGAAAGGCTCTAGTAAATTGGTCTACTCTCTAATTTGGTATCGAACAACTGGACACTGAACACAAGACTTCTCCAACCGGGCAACAAGATATCATTTTCACACGAAACACGTCGTACAACAGTCCAGAATAAGCACGATGCAAGCTGACGTAAAGTGTGTATTCGAATCCCTCGACCGTTCGCCGATTAAATACTCTGTCCCGATTGGTATTTTACAGATTCGTACGGCAAACACGGCGCAACTATGCAAAATTCGCGTCGTTCCGACAGCGTACGATGCAACTAAACGAATACAAAAAAAAAAAAAAAAAAAAAAAAAAAAAAAAAACGACGTGCATATAATATTAAATGTATATTGGACGATATCGAGCGTCATTGTGATCGTTAAGATAGCGAGCGCCAACTAAACGTGTTAACAATGAACGTTAGTATAGATACATTACACAAAAGAAAATTAATGATAATCCACCCATGGATTTAACCAAACCCGTTTGTGAACATATGAGAAATGACTTCAAGAATGACATTGTAATCGTAAGTTACCATACCGCCAATACGATGAACGAGAAATGCAACAGTATACACAGATGAACACATCAATGAATCTACGCTTGCACTCGTTGTATAGTACACTATGTTACAAGAGACCGATTCACACGGTTCCGCCAGTTCTGAGTTAAATTCGAGTTCAGGATAGACACGTGTATAGTATGTAGCTTTTGAAAAAGCTCCAAAGAACCACAATTCAATCACAGTCGAGTCCAATACGACTGTTTCATAATTGCTCTCGGGTGTCGTTGCCACCGTCTCGGGGACAACTTTCGATCGCAGTTTCCCCCGAACCAAGTTGCACGAAGAGAATGCACAATTTTCAACCATTCTCGAGTCTTACCTGCATCTCCGAGGCACTGCTGGAGATTCGTTCGGACTCCCGATGCTGAGGAGTGTGAGCCTCGCTGTGGCCGTTCACGATACCATTTGGCCCGCTGGGCCCTGGACCGCAACGGGGGTGCCATATCGCGGCGCCCTGCAAGTACATCTCCTCACCGTCACCGAACGGATCGCCGCACTTGGTGCATCTGGCGCAGGTAGGGTGAAAGTGATGATTGTCGCCCGCTTGCAAAACTTTGCCGCTTATGTAACGGTTGCAGTATGCGCACTTCACGCCGAACTGTTTTTGATAATCTTTCTCGCAGTAAGGCACCCCATCTCTGGAGGAAAACAGCAGGATGATTGCATTTGATGCAGTTCCGTCTGGTAAATTGTCTGACTGGCTCGGTTTTATCTTGGAGCAACCAGTTTACGAACTATGAAAATGTTGAGTTTGCTAGTACTAGAATAGATTAGTCAGGTCAAGTTATTTGACTGCTACAATATTTTGACTGCTAATCTAGCAACTGCAAAAATTCTGTGATTACTTAACCCTTGGAAGATGGACGTGGTTAATGCTCGTACAGCAGCAGTGTATACTCAGGCAACTTTGTAAGCATAGGGGAAGGTTGCTGTATTTGGACCATTGTCTACGTTGAATCAATACTGTAACTTGTCATGTGTGAGCAATTTGCGTCGTTTGACTTATCCAAATCAGATTTGTTATACTAAATATCAAACTCTAAAGAATTTTAACTCCAGAGAACCGACCCACATATGGGTACCACTGCAGTCAAAGTGTTGAGTCCCTATCAAGGAAGTTCCCAAGAAATTTATCAACCAACTTCATTCCCCTAATTAAAATTTCACGCTTCAGCAAGATACCTATCCACGTTCTTTAACATTCATCCCCTCAGGACTTTCATTCCCAACCGAACTTCCAAATCCAATCTGTGCTCCCTCTCTCTAATCCTGTACGGTGCTCGGCAATCGATACCAGAGCAGCGAACCTCGAAAGTCAATCTCATTTCCGCAACCAACGTTTTTCGCAGTCTAGAAAATCCGTGCTCGAGGGTGAAACTATCCTCTGTAGATAGAGTCTGGGGCTCCCGCGATCCAATAAAAATTTCACGCGCCCGACGCATAGGAAGCTCCTCATCAGCCTGGACTCCAAGATCAACCGAGACACTGTCGTTGACTGACAAAAACCCTTTTTTTCTTGAACTCACTTTCCCATGTACTCGCCGTGCAGCACGGTGTCGCAGCTGTGGCACTTGAAGCACCAGACGTGCCATTGCCGATCGAGAGCGACCAGGGCCTGACCTTCCCGTAATTGGTTACCGCAACCGGCGCAGGCACCGGGGTCGGAGGGCCCGTCTCCGGCTCCTCTAGTCGCGGTGTTATTGCCGACCGGCGTCGAGGCCTCTCGAACCGGGATTCCGACGCATCGATGGCATAGAGCTTGACCTATAGACAATGCTTGGGTTAGTTTCGCGATTGGACAGATCCGGTCGTCGATCTGCGCTGTTGTCCCGATGACGCACACACTCAGAGAGGCTCCATACACGCCGCCTATTGTCTCTCTTTTATCCCTGGTGCGTATCTTCGACACGCTGATTCATCGTTTGTACGCGCGAAACGCAGCTTTTGCGACGATTTGTTTACTGGCTGATATTTGCGCGTCTCTCGTCGTATAAATAGCCGCGTAATTCGTCGATGTCGATCTTACCCCGACCCCTTGTCTGCATAGGGAGAGAGACTGGTTTCGAGGGATTCAATTCCGTGGGAATGGTTCGCGACCGTTCTTGGTGCTAGATTTTTTTTACTTGGGATTTTATGGATTGGAAATGGTGGAAAGAGCGAGTTCTAGTTGTCGAGGAGAAGGGTCTAGTAGTATCACAACCGTTGGAGGGTTAATCAGGGTGAAGAGTTGTTAGTAGAGATCCGAATGGATCCTTGATACCTGTGGATCTTAATTACTGACTGATCTTGAAAACTTTGTAAATTCTTAGGAACATGAATGGTCTGTAAATAACAGTAACACTTGGATCCAATATCTGTCTATGTTGCCTAACTGAACCCTTTTTCTCCCTATTGAACTCCAGGTCTACCAGAAATGACGTTTAAAAAATTGCACGAACAGGCCGGAACAACGATCGCGCGCAGACCAAGCATCTGGAGCTGGTTCTCTAAAAATACGCACCGGTTCTCTTTCGCGAGAAGATCGATAAAGCGGCCGAGGTTGCAAAGATGCGCATAAATATTTGCCCGAGAACAATGTAACGATCGGATCGAGACGGGGGGAAGGGAGGTAGGGAACGGCGCTTTAACTCGCGACAGGGTCGTTTCAGGTGGTATCTCTCCCTCCCGTGCAGACGTACATTTTCAAGCATGAACCGTGGCAATCGGTACAAGGCCACGCGCGCGTGCACGGTCTCGTTAAGCCGTGTGCGATCCTACACCCAAGTGGTAATTTGCTTTAACAGGTTCGCCGGTAACGCCAATTTCGCGGGTCTCATCGAAAAGGGAACCTACGACGATACCGTTTCGTTGGTTCTATGGAACCGCGCGTGATGATCGTATACTCGTTCTTTAACGATTTTGGAGTCTTCGAGCACTCATCGACGATTTACCGTAACTCTACTCACCTTGCACAAGGGACACTTTTGTCCCTTGACCCAACAGAGGTTGCCTGCATCTCTGACAGTGAAAGCAGTTCGGATGGAACGCGTGCTTCTCGCCCGCGGTGACCACATCGCCCTCCACGTACTCCCCGCAGCCGGCGCACTTGGTGCCCCAGCGTTCCCTGTAGTCCTGCAACAACCAAGAACGTACGTTGCCCCGTGATTGTTTCAACCAACATCGCCAGACACAACATTCATACGCCTGGACGCGGTGTATCGTACGAAGGATCGTGGGCGCCTCTCGTTTTTCGCAGCCGTGTTTGTCAATCGTGGCGCGACCAGCTTCCAGCCCCGAGGAGTTTATTTACGCGCGATGACAAATGGCCCCCTTCACGAGGGGCATTCTTAACGCGAGATTCTCGTTCACCATCGAAACGGGAATAAAACTTGGGAGGGATTCGTGGATCGTCGTCCTCAAGGTTTGCACAGAAAACGTGAGTTAAAGTGAGTTTAGCCCTTTTTTTTTTTAGGTAAAAGTTTGGAAATTCGAAGTCGAAATTTTATCTTATATCATCCCTATAATTTGGGTCGCATACGACCCGGACCTTACTGTCAGAGGGTTAAAACACAGATGACTACAGTTGTTTATGTGGTTTAATAGGCTTTATGTATAGCGGGAGGTGTAACATGAAGTACGAAGCAAGTAAAAATGAAGTGTAAAACGGTGAGACTGCGTTTACCGCGAGTGAATTACGCGCTCCAAATAGTGGCGAACCCCCCGCACGTTCTCTATTTTTTTTTTCTTATCGGGACGGTGATTTTTTATTTATACGTTTCAGTACCTTGGTGCAGTAGTAAGAGCCCTCGCGAGCGAAAAAGCCGCCTTGCGCTAAACTCGCGTTGCACTGAGCACACTTGAAACACCCTATGTGGAAATACTTGTCCTGCACTCGTAGCACCTCCCCGCTGCACTTCTTCTTGCAAGCCTGGCAGAACGTTTTACCTGGAAAAGAGTAAAAAAAAAAAAAAAAATGATTGCGATATTGTAAGCGTGCCTGTATGGGAATCGGGTGACGTGGGGTGTAGCGAAGGAAATGGTGAAGGAAATAAAGGGAAAAGAGTAGTTAGGGCTAGTTAAGGGATACAATAGGAAAAATGGCCTTGAGTAACGGACAATCTGTTCTGTCCTCGTCCATAACTGTAGCTTCAATTTCACGAATTTTTGACACGCTCATGCTTTGTCCTCCATTCTGCTCCTCCACAGACTCTACTTTAACTCTCTAGGTCACGTTAAATGCAGGTTCCATTCCTAGTACCGCGTAACCATCACGTGGAATGATTAATGAGCCGTGTTCAATCGTTCGATAGCTCCGTAACATGTAGTTTAATCCCGATCGTGAATAAAGCCGTGAACGGTAATTCCTGTTATTCCCCATGACCGTGTGTATTAATATTAACGCGGCGTGCCACGGACATAATTTATCAATCTCGAAATAGTCTCTTTTTTCCGACCCATCGCCGACGAGCACTCAGACGATCCTGTGCATCGAATCCTACAGTCTTGTTATCGTTTTAATTCGTGGATCGCGTTCTTTACCGCGAGGAGAAAGGAAGAAACTGCCCCGGCTGATCTTTAATCTACGATCGTCCGAGGTCTTTCACTCGTCGAAGGTAAAAGTTTCGCGGCGAAACCAGTGCTCTCTCTCTCTCCTCGAGCGATCGCTTGGAAAGGACTTCCTACTAGACTCGTGGAAAAAAAATTTCGAGAATTGTTTCGCTAGCAAAACATCCGCCACCTGGTAAGGTGTGCTAATTAATAGCAAATAGAGCGAGACAGCTACGCCTGTTTTATCCCCCAATATGGCCGATTTCTAAGAAACTGTAACATTCTTGTTGGATCGATATTTTCATCGAATAAAAAACAACAACGCTCGATCTCTGTCGTTCCTGATTCGCGACTTCTACTGATCGAATAATGTACCTCGATCTACGTACAGTCTGTCTAGTAAAAGCGTGACCGGCCAAATTATTACCTGGATGCAGTTATCAGAAAAATTCCGGTGAAATTCTTTCATTAGACAGACTGTATGATCATCGATAAAGCGTATCTGGCGTTCGAACGTTCTGAGGTCCGAAGAACTCAAGATAAACCGGCCGTGGAAACGGGCGAAAATTGAAACGAGTTCCTGGCATTCCGCTCGAAATTTTACGAGGCAGCCCAGAATTTCATTTATCCGCCGCGATTTCACCGGTGCAATTCGCGGTTTTCCAATGGCACGATCATCTGCAGACAATTAACGCGGGCTCCCGTGGTTATCCTAGCAGGAACAAATGCAACCTTGCGAAATCGATATCACTGGAGATCGCTAAACCAGGGTCTGAAAATATGTGAAGTACCAATGTACAGATATAAATACCCGACGAACGAAATATCGAGATTACTGTACGCTTAAACGGAGAAGTGGATTTATAACAAGTAAATCCTGTATTACACGGTGGTCGGGTTCGTAAAAATTGCAGCATTATTGTGAATTTCTGTTGTAAGAAACTAGGAACTAGTACATACGAAAAATATAATTAGATTCCGAAAACTAACAAAAGTATCGTGTTATAGGAATATCGTCACATTCTCACACCACAACGTAATGAATTCGGTGGTGAGCCCGAATGTTCCCAGCTGGTTCAATCAACGGTTGTTCGTTCCGATCGACAACTCGGCTCACGTACCGGTCGAATATGGCGCGTTACACGCGTAATCCGGTCGTGGTGTGGAACCTCTAACTAAAGCGTGACTCAAAGGTCCTGCTTAGCGTATATACCTGTCGCGCAGTTACACCAGGGGGAAGAGTGGAGAAAGAAAGGAAAAAAAAAAAAAAAAGAGGTCGTCAAGCAGACGAAGAAAAAGGTGGTTCCCCCGAGCACTTGTCGGAGTGCACTTATGTACGCCGCGAGCCGGGGCCCGCGTATCGAATCCGGGTGAAGGTCTTCTCTTTCAGACCACGCGCAGCAGCACAAGTGGTCGAGAACCGGCCTGCATTCGAGTCGTGAATTTCCAAGTCGTCAGCAAGTGAGATTGGCGAAAAAAATCCACGGATAATATATTACCTGTCCGTCGACACGGCTCGAAGTAATCGGCTGGCGAACAAAGCAACAGAAAAGAGAAACACACGCAAGGAGGGGACGCTTGATTCTGTCAGCCGATCAAATTGTTCGTTGCTCGAGTCGACGCGATTAAATTGTTCTCGCCGGTTTTTACCGTAATTTTCAGTCGTAAGATTTCTAAAGGTAATAACAATGTAGTAAACGTACATTAAGGGTTAATGGATCTTTCGGCGGGGCCCCAGGTTTTTCAATTACCACCACGCACGCAATAAACCGATCCAGTTTTTTTCGCGGTTAATTCGACGTTTGCTGGGCGAATGGTCGTACAATTATTGTATATCCCTGTCGCGATCGTGATCGATGTGGAGGTGGTTCATAGCGTGGGTGGGCGCAGTTTTACTGGGAAAACTTGGGTATACATGTAACACCTTCTCTCGAAGATCAGAACGGAGCGCGATCGATTTTTCGAGTTGCATCGGGGGCTTAGCTTCAGAGCGATCGTAAATCGTGGCGAAACGATCCAGCGAGATACCACCACGTGTCACAGCTGCGACGAGAGTTGACACACCACGTTCTCGGTTACGTAAACGCAATTATATTCAACACTCTGGCGATCGTTGACTTCGTGCTATATTCGTTGCGTTTGTAGCTGGGTCGAATAAGTTGACTTATCGCTGGACTCGCTTGTAACAACGGCGTTAAGAACTTTTAACGTGTTCACTGCCATGGTGGTTGTCACCGGTGATCGGAGCCATTACATTACACTCAGGATTCATTACATTTACAAAGAATAAGATCGCATCAATCTCAAGATTACATTTTTCTCCAATTTCGACCAGAGAAGATCCAAAACCCGTAGCGAAGTTAAGTACAGATTTCGTCATTTTTGGAGGTCAAGTGTCTGGACAGATCAACAATAGACCTTTAATATATTCTGATTGGCGAGATCTGACGTAATAGTACGTTTTTTCGTTACAAAGACCAGGTCAGAATGTATTCACGTTGTATCCTTGGTTACGCAATTGCCGATTCGTTTTTCGTACGCCGTTCTTTTTAGCATCCAATTCCCGGTACACACGATGACAAATGGCAATGGCTGGATAGGTGTTTGTTTCTCCTATTCTACTCCCAGCCCACGAAGTGTTAAGGAAAACGGCGAACGACCGTCAGACTTGTCCAAGCGACTGGTTGACTCACGCTGAGAACTTTTTCTCCGCCGTTCTCGGCTTCCTCCCGGTGAAATGGACATTCCTTTCACGCCTCGAGAAAGAAACCGATTTTTCCTAATCGGCGACGAACGATTCACGGTCACACAAGCGGTGAACGTCGTCCATGTGACTCTCGGATCTGTAGCAATTGATAACAACTGAACATCGAATTAAGCTTAGACTGTGAGGTCTCGTTAACTGCTCGCGAGTGTATCCTTATTAGTCTCAAATTCTCCACCAATCCTCTAGACCAGTGTTCTCCGACCTTTTTTGGGTCATTCCCCACCTCAACAACTCAAAGATCTCGATGTTCCCTTAGCATAATAGTAAAACCAAACTTCCCTTTCAGTGAGGCGTACGACCCACGTTGGGAAACTCTGCCCTAGAAAAATTGCTCCGAAAGTTTTCAATCACTACTATGCTAACAAACTGTACGCCAGAAAGATCCTCGCAACGTGTGCAAAGAAGCCACGAGAGTCCAAGATGGAGTATATCTCGGTAGCTCCGACTCAATGAATCAATCGACCCCATGCCAGTAGGGTACCAGATAATAAACGCCGTCTGTTTCACTAACTTATCTGTTGTTTTGAACGCTAGTCTCTATCTCTTTCTCTCTTCCAGGCGGTCTATAAATTACTCTGGCCCGTCTGTCGCTCACAGTAGTGTTAGCGGCGTAAGAAAGGGGATGTCCGGCCTGGTCTCTCTGCGCAGAGCGCGATTCATTATTGGAAAAGCCGGAGAGAACGAACGGGGCCAGTTATCTTCCCGAATGAGTCGATCGATTCGCCTCGTTATGCAAACAAAACATTATTCCGCCTCGTATCGCGAGACTGTGTTCGCGGTCGAGGAAAACACGATTAGCGTAATCCACTTTCTCGCCCCGACCGATGAGTAATTAGGTCTCTTCGCGTCGTCGAGGCGAAAAACAGGAGCGTCCTCTACTCCGATATTTGGGGCGATGTCATCATTCGTACGAAAATACGAGGGTGACTCAAAAATGATGCGGCTGGAAAAGTCGACAGGATTATTCCACGGTTTCGAGGGAAGGTCGAGGTCTTTGATATAGCTGGAAACGGGAGTTGCATCAGCATCGAGGAATTCCTAATCTTTTCAACGCCTCGAAATGTATGCTTAAGTAATAGGCTCGTCGAAGAATTTCTTGAAGCCACTGGCATTCCATTTGGAGATTTACCTCGTATCTTTTCAACTACCGACGATTTCTTCCTGAGTAATAGGATTGTCAAGGGATTTCTTGAACCCCTTGACACTTTATGTATTGGGGAATTTATCTCTTCAGCATGGGACATCACAAAAATTCCCGAATCAATACGACTGGACCTTATTAAATTATTTTTGCTATACTTGAACTGTGATCTTCCCTCTCCATTCTAATTTTTAAGCTAGAATATTAAAAAATTAAATGGAAGAAATCATATTTTCAGCAGGCTCTCACCGTTCTCTTACTTAAACCACACCTCAATCGAATCCGGTAGGTACGTGACACAATGCGACAACATCGTGTCGAGTGTATAAAACACGCACCAATTTGTCCACGCAACTTGACATTTTTCCAGTGCGACCGGTCTCGCTTTCCGGAAGCATAAATCAAGCTTTCTCGGCTTGTCTCCTTAATCCCGTTTAAACGTCTGTACTTAAGTGACGGATCACGGAGGAGTACAGCGAGTAAGTATGG